ATTCAGAGTACCACTGAGTATGGCTCCATGTGTAACCAACTTCCCACAGCAAATGCACCACAATGCCACGCAACCGGAAGGAGAGCACTACAAAGACAAAGATGAGTTGGAGATCCATGTTTTGAAACTTCACACAGCATTCTATGAGCTGATGAACGGACTCCAGTCTGAGTCATGCTGAAAGTTGCATTGACTACTGAGCACCTCAAGTGTCAGCAGAGCATCAAATTCTTCCAGTAATTCTCAGAGAGCATGAGTTCAGCTGGTCAACATGTGCACTGAGTCCTGGGAACCCTCCTTCAGTCAATGTGATAGGCTAGTGGTTCAGCGGCAAGGAGCATGGCCTACAGCCAAGTTAGGGCTCATCACAAGAAGTACTGTATTTCTGAGAAAGTACCAAAGTGTTGAACTGTACTCTGTATTCACAGAACAGTTTTTTATTACATCAAGAATGCTCAAAGTAGCTGGATGTGGTTGTGCATGCCTGTAATTCCAGCACTTGAGAGGCTGAGGCAGGAGGATCATTGTGAGTTTGAGGTCAGCCTGAGCTACAAAGTGAGCTCAAAGCCAGCCTGAACTGCATAGTGAGACCTGTCTCAGAAAAACAAAAACAAAAACAAAAAACAAACAAAACAAAACAAAACAAAACAAAACAATAATGCTCAAAGTATTAAACTGTACCCTGTATTCACAAAATACTTTTTTTCTTCAAATCAATTACAATTCAGGTTATCTGACAGATATCACAAAACTGCCCACCATAGTCAGATGACTACTTTAGAATTTTCCCTATGAACTTTCTACTATGGTTGAGAAATCACATATGCATCCCACATAGAACTATAAAGTACAGAGCAAAGACCCATTCTTAGACACCTTGAAACAGCCACAACAGATGTTTGGAGTAAGCAGCATAAACTTGAATCTCCTTGCTACCGAGAAATCTCCCTCCCTACCACCACACACACACACACACACACACACACACACACACACACACGCACACAAACCTGTAAACATGCATGCCTGGTGTGCAATTTAATCATGTGTTTGGGCAAATAATTCAAAGCCTGTCCTGAGGGTGCACACACACTTCTTGAGAGTTAGAAAGTCAATTTTTACAAAAGGGAAACATTTTGGTTTTCTGTTTTTTGCTTTTATTGTGGTACTGGGGATTGAACCTAAGGCCTTAATGCATGCTAAGAGTACTACACTACCGAGCCACATCCCCAGCAAAATAGCCAAACATATTAGGAAAATTATTTCTTCTCTTCCATGAAACATAAACTTCAGAAGGCAATGGGGTGAATGATCAAGCTGTGCTGCTGTTGTTTTTATTACATTGAAATGAGCACGTGAAATAAAAGACACTGGCAAAATCTGGGCAACACTATTTCTTTAGCATGGTTTCGAGAGGGAAAATGACTAGCTTTAATATTAAGCTCCACAAAGCCAACTGCTCATTGCTTAAATTATTATAAAAGACTTTTACACAGTTCAGATTTTGTGGTTAAATGGTACTATAAAATTCTATTTACAGAGCACCAAAGATTGAATATTTGTATAGAATGTTTCCATAACAGAATTTCACCTGCAATGGCATGTCATCACTGTTGAGCTGCTTAAAACAGTTACTATGGTCAAGTGCGGTAGCACATGCCTGTAATCCCACCACTTGGGCAACTAAATCAGGAGGACTGCTGTGAGTTCAGTCCAGCCTGAATTACAAAGTGTGATTCTTGTCTCAAAAAATAAATGAATAAAATAAAAAACAAAAGACTCATTATAATATGAAAAACTTCATATATAAGTTAGCTATGAAATAAAAGACAGACAATAGAAGAAAAAAGTTATTGTAACTCAGCATGGAAAATATATCTAAAGGAATACTTCGACTTAGTACAATTGTGTTCCATCTTTTATATGTGTTTTGGCTTATAGTCTGGTATGTCTGATATATATATATATAATATATATTGATATTGATATATATATCATATATATATATATATATATATATTTCTTTTTAATAGTCTTATTTTTAATCTGTATACATGACAAGGGTTTATAAGAGAAATGCATGAATGGGATTCTGGCAAAATACAAGGATAGTGGAAAATAAAGAATAGAAATGTGTCACGGACATGTATCAACTCCCAAGAACCAACATGATTATTATGTACTGCAAACACATACCAATAGAAGTTTAAAAAAAAAAGGCAGTCATGAATTCAGAGAAGACAACTAAAATGAGTGAGATTTCATAACTTTCCAGCAGAAAGGGTTCCTAGGGATTCCAGTGCAACGCTAGTGTCAGGGCCTTTGCACTCTGAATTCCACACAGTACTGGCTTCACTGAGAAGTGGACACCTGATGTTTCCCATATACAAATTTATCCAAGAACCCACCAACTTTCACCTTTTCTCAAGACCAGTGTGCCCATCTTACCTTAGGCTTTCAAACATTCCCTACTGTCAAGTTCAAATTGTACCTCTTAGACATTACATACTGTCTGATTTTGTTGCAGAAAGCTTTTTTATTGATATTTTATTAATCATCTCACTAGGAAAATGTCTCAACCTATCTAGTTCACTTATAACTCTAGTTTTGGGTGTGGTCAGCTTACACAACCAATCCTACATCAGAGAAGTGTACATACTTCCCTGATATGTTGGTGCCTGTGCTCCCCTATGCAAAATCATTCGGAACAGTATATATTATTTTCAGAATCTATCTTTATGTGGGCTTAGGGATGGTATGTCAAGCCAGTACACTCTCACTTATACTCCACTCCTCAGCCCCTTAAGATTTAGTAGAGGATTATAGTTCAATAATACACTGTAAAATAGAGATCCAATCTCAGATAAAATGTAAAATTATATCACGGTAAATGCTTCTGGAGGACCACTTGTGTAAACAATAGAAGTCACCACAGTGACCTTAATTATAGCTTATTTAGGACTTGTGTTCATGTTTTAAAACATATACATGCACATATATAATTCTATCAAACTGAGAAAAAGCCACACGATGCATGAACAACTGTAACAGTCATTTGACAGTTGAGAAAACTGAAGCCTAAGCTAAATAACTTTGTCAGACAGCTAACTAGAGAATTAACCAGGATTCAGCGGCCAAAGCTCAAATGGCCAAGCCTAACTATTACCCATTCTATCATCTAGAGAGACAACTCTGCAAAGGAAGACTGAGAATACACATGTGAGTTCAGTCAAAGTTTCCAAATGTCCTCTGTTCTCCAGACATGATGGCTTAAAACAGGCTTTAGGTCAATGGAGGCAAACCTATGGCATGCATGTTGCAGCAAGCTCTTTGTACCACTGAAAGCTCTATCACTGCTTTAGGTTCATCTTTCAAAAGACAATGTATTTACATAGCTAGAAATTACACTTAAAATCAGCTAAGAATGATGGTTAACTCAGAAAACTGTTTCATGAGATGGAGAAATAACAAAAAGCTTACTGTTTTTGAAGTTGACGATTTTTTTCATCCTTTCCTCCCAATTTGCTAAGTTGGAAGGCATCCTGAGATGAGTTTTCCGTTTCAGAAACAACGGCTACAAAAGAGAAGAAAAGCCCCCAAATTTAGAGTAAATTAACAGGGCAAAGTTTTATGTTTCACAAATAGGAAGAAGATTCTGCAGGTAGAGAGCTGAATCATTTCTGAAGGGTAAGCTTCCGAGCAAACACATATAAATGTTCAAGCGTATAAATTAGCACATAAGAGGGTTATTCATTCACGACAAATGAATTTCCACTGCTCTGCTTTGTTTCACACGTGGGCAAACTGGGCTGTCAGGAGAACGCTCAGCCATGACTCCTCGTGGGCACTGGACACCTGCAGCAGGCACATAGGAAAAATCTCACACTCTCCCAAACCCAGCAGTTAGGACAGCTGCCTAAAACCGGCCCACCTTGTCCTGGTGATTCTTTGCCAGTTTGTCCAGGCGGACCCTTTTCCTTTTTGCCAAACAAACGACCAGTGGAGGACTTGATGCTCTTCTTCTTTGGGGCTTTGTGGAGCGCGTCCTACCTGCTGTCACTGCTACTGGGATTGTTCACAGGACCTTCCTGGGAGCCTGTTGAGCTTCAAAGAAATAAAATGGATTTTTACCACCCTCTTCCCATCTCCACAGTCCATTCACACGTACAAGAACAGTCTGCATTTTTAATATTCCTACCTTCAACTTCCTAAAAAACGTTTCGAGTCTCTTACACACAGTACAATATGCATTGTGATGCAGGGTCCCAGTAATGCTTCCACAGACCTGTGTCTGGAAAGCCAAGATTCTGATGTGCTCCCTGCTCAGAGCAGGCCTGTACTCTAGCCTGTCTTGTTTGGACACATAAGGGAACACCCTCTGCAGGGGCCTTGCTCAGGCACTGAGGGATGCACTCAGTCAACAGGAAAGAAAACAAGGTCTCAGAAGCCTGACTGTAATTGTAACTTATTTAGGAATTGTGTCCATGTTATAAAACATATACATGCACATATATAATTCTACTGAACTGAAAAACAGCCACATGATGTATAAACAACTGTAACTGCCATTTGACAGTTGAGAAAACTGAAGCACAGGATAAGTAACTTTGTCAGAGACACACAGCTAACTAGAGAATTAACCAGGATTCAGCGGCCAGAGCTCAAATGGCCAAGCCTAACTATTACCCATTCTATTATCCTGGGAGAACACTCTGAAAAGGTAGACTGAGAATACATGTGTGAATTCAGTCAAGATTTCCAAATGTCCTCTGTTCTCCAGACATGATGGCTTAAAACAGGCTTTAGGTCAGTGGAGGCAAACCTATGGCGTGCATGCTGCAGCAAGCTCTTTGTATCACTGAAAGCTCTATCACTGCTTTAGGTTCATCTTTCAAAAGACAATGTATTTACATAGCTAGAAATTACACTTAAAATCAGCTAAGAATGACTGTTAACTCAGAAAACTGTTTCATGAGATGGAGAAATAACAAAAAGCTTACTGTTTTTGAAGTTGATGATTTTTTTCATCCTTTCCTCCCAGTTTGCTAAGTTGGAAGGCATCCTGAGATGAGTTTGGTGTTTCAGAAACAACAGCTACAAAAAAGAAGAAAAGCCCCCAAATTTAGAGTAAATTAACATGGCAAAGTTATATGTTTCACAAATAGGAAGAAGATTCTGCAGGTAGAGAGCAGAATAATTTCTGAAGGGTAAGCTTCTGAGCAAACACATATAAATGTTCAAGAGTATAAATTAGCACATAAGAGGGTTATTCATTCAAGCCAAATTAATTTCCACTGCTCTGCTTTGTTTCACATGTGGGCAAACTGGGCTGTCAGAAGAACGCTCAGCCATGACGCCTCGTGGGCACTGGACACCTGCAGCAGGCACATAGGAAAAATCTCACGCTCTCCCAATCCCAGCAGTTAGGACAGCTGCCTAAAACCAGCCCACCTTGTCTTGGTGATTCTTTGCCAGTTTGTCCAGGCGGACCCTTTTCCTTTTTGCCAAACAAACGACCAGTGGAGGACTTGATGCTCTTCTTCTTTGGGGCTTTGTGGAGTGCGTCCTGCCTGCTGTCACTGCTACTGGGATTGTTCACAGGACCTTCCTGGGAGCCTGTTGAGCTTCAAAGAAATAAAATGGATTTTTACCACCCTCTTCCCATCTCCACAGTCCATTCACACGTATGAGAACAGTCTGCATTTTTAATATTCCTACCTTCAACTTCCTAAAAAACGTTTCGAGTCTCTTACACACAGTACAATATGCATTGTGATGCAGGGTCCCAGTAATGCTTCCACAGACCTGTGTCTGGAAAGCCAAGATTCTGATGTGCTCCCTGCTCAGAGCAGGCCTGTACTCTAGCCTGCCTTGTTTGGACACATAAGGGAACACCCTCTGCAGGGGCCTTGCTCAGGCACTGAGGGATGCACTCAGTCAACAGGAAAGAAAACAAGGTCTCAGAAGCCTGATTGTAATTGTAACTTATTTAGGAATTGTGTCCATGTTATAAAACATATACATGCACATATATAATTCTATTGAACTGAAAAACAGCCACATGATATATGAACAACTGTAACTGCCATTTGACAGTTGAGAAAACTGAAGCACAGGATAAGTAACTTTGTCAGAGACACACAGCTAACTAGAGAATTAACCAGGATTCAGCGGCCAGAGCTCAAATGGCCAAGCCTAACTATTACCCATTCTATTATCCTGGGAGAACACTCTGAAAAGGTAGACTGAGAATACATGTGTGAATTCAGTCAAGATTTCCAAATGTCCTCTGTTCTCCAGACATGATGGCTTAAAACAGGCTTTAGGTCAGTGGAGGCAAACCTATGGCGTGCATGCTGCAGCAAGCTCTTTGTACCACTGAAAGCTCTATCACTGCTTTAGGTTCATCTTTCAAAAGACAATGTATTTACATAGCTAGAAATTACACTTAAAATCAGCTAAGAATGACTGTTAACTCAGAAAACTGTTTCATGAGATGGAGAAATAACAAAAAGCTTACTGTTTTTGAAGTTGACGATTTTTTTTCATCCTTTCCTCCCAATTTGCTAAGTTGGAAGGCATCCTGAGATGAGTTTTCCGTTTCAGAAACAACAGCTACAAAAAAGAAGAAAATTCCCCAAATTTAGAGTAAATTAACATGGCAAAGTTATATGTTTCACAAATAGGAAGAAGATTCTGCAGGTAGAGAGCTGAATCATATCTGAAGGGTAAGCTTCCGAGCAAACACATATAAATGTTCAAGCGTATAAATCAGCATATAAGAGGGTTATTCATTCACGCCAAATGAATGTCCACTGCTCTGCTCTGGTTCACATGTGGGCAGACTGGGCTGTCTGGAGAATGCTCAGCCATGATTCCTTGTGGGCACTGGACACCTGTGGCAGGTACATAGGAAAAAGCTCATGCTCTCCCAATCCCAGCAGTTAGGACAGCTGCCTAAAACCGGCCCACCTTGTCTTGGTGATTCTTTGCCAGTTTGTCCAGGCGGACCCTTTTCCTTTTTGCCAAACAAACGACCAGTGGAGGACTTGATGCTCTTCTTCTTTGGGGCTTTGTGGAGCGCATCCTACCTGCTTTCACTGCTACTGGGATTGTTCACAGGACCTTCCTGGGAGCCTGTTGAGCTTCAAAGAAATAAAATGGATTTTTACCACCCTCTTCCCATCTCCACAGTCCATTCACACGTACAAGAACAGTCTGCATTTTTAATATTCCTACCTTCAACTTCCTAAAAAACGTTTCGAGTCTCTTACACACAGTACAATATGCATTGTGATGCAGGGTCCCAGTAATGCTTCCACAGACCTGTGTCTGGAAAGCCAAGATTCTGATGTGCTCCCTGCTCAGAGCAGGCCTGTACTCTAGCCTGTCTTGTTTGGACACATAAGGGAACACCCTCTGCAGGGGCCTTGCTCAGGCACTGAGGGATGCACTCAGTCAACAGGAAAGAAAACAAGGTCTCAGAAGCCTGACTGTAATTGTAACTTATTTAGGAATTGTGTCCATGTTATAAAACATATACATGCACATATATAATTCTACTGAACTGAAAAACAGCCACATGATGTATGAACAACTGTAACTGCCATTTGACAGTTGAGAAAACTGAAGCACAGGATAAGTAACTTTGTCAGAGACACACAGCTAACTAGAGAATTAACCAGGATTCAGCGGCCAGAGCTCAAATGGCCAAGCCTAACTATTACCCATTCTATTATCCTGGGAGAACACTCTGAAAAGGTAGACTGAGAATACATGTGTGAATTCAGTCAAGATTTCCAAATGTCCTCTGTTCTCCAGACATGATGGCTTAAAACAGGCTTTAGGTCAGTGGAGGCAAACCTATGGCGTGCATGCTGCAGCAAGCTCTTTGTATCACTGAAAGCTCTATCACTGCTTTAGGTTCATCTTTCAAAAGACAATGTATTTACATAGCTAGAAATTACACTTAAAATCAGCTAAGAATGACTGTTAACTCAGAAAACTGTTTCATGAGATGGAGAAATAACAAAAAGCTTACTGTTTTTGAAGTTGACGATTTTTTTCATCCTTTCCTCCCAATTTGCTAAGTTGGAAGGCATCCTGAGATGAGTTTTCCGTTTCAGAAACAACAGCTACAAAAAAGAAGAAAATTCCCCAAATTTAGAGTAAATTAACATGGCAAAGTTATATGTTTCACAAATAGGAAGAAGATTCTGCAGGTAGAGAGCAGAATAATTTCTGAAGGGTAAGCTTCCGAGCAAACACATATAAATGTTCAAGCGTATAAATTAGCATATAAGAGGGTTATTCATTCACGCCAAATGAATGTCCACTGCTCTGCTCTGGTTCACATGTGGGCAGACTGGGCTGTCTGGAGAATGCTCAGCCATGACTCCTCGTGGGCACTGGACACCTGCAGCAGGCACATAGGAAAAATCTCACACTCTCCCAATCCCAGCAGTTAGGACAGCTGCCTAAAACCGGCCCACCTTGTCTTGGTGATTCTTTGCCAGTTTGTCCAGGCGAACCCTTTTCCTTTTTGCCAAACAAACGACCAGTGGAGGACTTGATGCTCTTCTTCTTTGGGGCTTTGTGGAGCACGTCCTGCCTGCTGTCACTGCTACTGGGATTGTTCACAGGACCTTCCTGGGAGCCTGTTGAGCTTCAAAGAAATAAAATGGATTTTTACCACCCTCTTCCCAGCTCCACAGTCCATTCACACGTACAAGAACAGTCTGCATTTTTAATATTCCTACCTTCAACTTCCTAAAAAACGTTTCGAGTCTCTTACACACAGTACAATATGCATTGTGATGCAGGGTCCCAGTAATGCTTCCACAGACCTGTGTCTGGAAAGCCAAGATTCTGATGTGCTCCCTGCTCAGAGCAGGCCTGTACTCTAGCCTGCCTTGTTTGGACACATAAGGGAACACCCTCTGCAGGGGCCTTGCTCAGGCACTGAGGGATGCACTCAGTCAACAGGAAAGAAAACAAGGTCTCAGAAGCCTGACTGTAATTGTAACTTATTTAGGAATTGTGTCCATGTTATAAAACATATACATGCACATATATAATTCTACTGAACTGAAAAACAGCCACATGATGTATGAACAACTGTAACTGCCATTTGACAGTTGAGAAAACTGAAGCACAAGCTAAGTAACTTTGTCAGAGACACACAGCTAACTAGAGAATTAACCAGGATTCAGCGGCCAGAGCTCAAATGGCCAAGCCTAACTATTACCCCTTCTATCATCCTGGGAGACAACTCTGAAAAGGTAGACTGAGAATACATGTGTGAATTCAGTCAAGATTTCCAAATGTCCTCTGTTCACCAGACATGATGGCTTAAAACAGGCTTTAGGTCAATGGAGGCAAACCTATGGCGTGCATGCTACAGCAAGCTCTTTGTACCACTGAAAGCTCTATCACTGCTTTAGGTTCATCTTTCAAAAGACAATGTATTTACATAGCTAGAAATTACACTTAAAATCAGCTAAGAATGACTGTTAACTCAGAAAACTGTTTCATGAGATGGAGAAATAACAAAAAGCTTACTGTTTTTGAAGTTGACGATTTTTTTCATCCTTTCCTCCCAATTTGCTAAGTTGGAAGGCATCCTGAGATGAGTTTTCCGTTTCAGAAACAACAGCTACAAAAAAGAAGAAAATTCCCCAAATTTAGAGTAAATTAACATGGCAAAGTTATATGTTTCACAAATAGGAAGAAGATTCTGCAGGTAGAGAGCTGAATCATTTCTGAAGGGTAAGCTTCCGAGCAAACACATATAAATGTTCAAGCGTATAAATTAGCATATAAGAGGGTTATTCATTCACGCCAAATGAATGTCCACTGCTCTGCTCTGGTTCACATGTGGGCAGACTGGGCTGTCTGGAGAATGCTCAGCCATGATTCCTTGTGGGCACTGGACACCTGTGGCAGGTACATAGGAAAAAGCTCATGCTCTCCCAATCCCAGCAGTTAGGACAGCTGCCTAAAACCGGCCCACCTTGTCTTGGTGATTCTTTGCCAGTTTGTCCAGGCGGACCCTTTTCCTTTTTGCCAAACAAACGACCAGTGGAGGACTTGATGCTCTTCTTCTTTGGGGCTTTGTGGAGCGCGTCCTGCCTGCTGTCACTGCTGCTGGGAATGCTCACAGGACCATCCTGGGAGCCTGTTGAGCTTGAAGGAAAGAAAATGGACTTTTACCACCCTTTTCAGAGCTCCACAGTCCATTCACACGTATAAGAACAGTCTGCATTTTTAATATTCCTACCTTCAACTTACTAAAGAATTTTTCAACTCTCTTACACACAATACAATATTCATTGTGATGCAGGGTCAGAGTAATGCTTCCCCAGACCAGTGTCTGGAAAGCCAAGATTCTGATGTGCTCCCTGCTCAGAGCAGGCCTGTACTCTAGCCTGCCTGGTTTGGACACATAAGGGAACACTCTGTGCAGGGGCCTTGCTCAGCCAGTGAGGGTTCCACTCAGTCAACAGGAAAGAGAACAAGGTCTCAGAATCCTCACTGTAATTGTAACATATTTAGGACCTGTGTCCATGTTTTAAAACATATACATGCACATATATAATTCTATTGAACTGAAAAAAAACCACATGATGTATGAACAACTGTAACAGTCATTTGACAGTTGAGAAAACTGAAGCACAAGCTAAGTAACTTTGTCAGAGACACACAGCTAACTAGAGAATTAACCAGGATTCAGCGGCCAGAGCTCAAATGGCCAAGCCTAACTATTACCCATTCTATCATCCTGGGAGACAACTCTGAAAAGGTAGACTGAGAATACATGTGTGAGTTCAGTCAAAATTTCCAAATGTCCTCTGTTCTCCAGACATGATGGCTCAAAACAGCCTTTAGGTCAATGGAGGCAAACCTATGGCGTGCATGCTGCAACAAGCTCTTTGTATCACTGAAAGCTCTATCACTGCTTTAGGTTCATCTTTCAAAAGACAATGTATTTACATAGCTAGAAATTACACTTAAAATCAGCTAACAATTACTGTTACCTCAGAAACCTGTTTCATGAGATGGAGAAATAACAAAAAGCTTACTTTTTTTGAAATTTTCGATTTTTTTCATCCTTTCCTCCCAGTTTGCTAAGTCGGAACGCATCCTGAGATGAGGTTTCTGTTTCAGAAAGAACAGCTATTAAAAAATCAGAAAAGCCCCCAAATTTACAGTAAATTAACATGGCAAAGTTATATGTTTCACAAATAGGTTGAAGGTTCTGCAGGTAGAGAGCTAAATAATTTCTGAAGGGTAAGCTTCCAAGCAAACACATACAAATGTTCAAGAGTGTAAAGTAGCACATAAGAGGGTTATTCATTCACGCCAAATGAATGTCCACTGCTCTGCTTTGGTTCACACATGGGCAGACTGAGAAAGCAGACTGGGCTTTTCTGGAGAACCCTCAGCCATGACTCCACGTGGGCACTGCGCACCTGCAGCAGGCACACAGGACAAAGTTCACGTTCTCCCATTCCCAGCAGTTAGGACAGCTGCCGAAACCCCACCCACCTTGTCCTGGTGATTCTTTGCCAGTTTGTCCAGGCCGACCCTTTTCCTTTTTGCCAAACAAACGACCAATGGAGGACTTGATGCCCTTCTTCTTTGGGGCTTTGTGGGGCGAGTCCTGCCTGCTGTCACTGCTACTGGGATTGCTCACAGGACCATCCTGGGCACTTTTTGATCTTGAAGGAAAGAAAATGGACTTTTACCACATGCCCTCTTTAGAACTCCACAGTCCACTCACATGTACCAAAACAGTCTGCATTTTTAATATTCCTACTTCATCTCCCTGAAGATCCTTTCCAGTCTCTTACCCACAGCACACTATGCATAGCAATGCAGGGTCCCAGTAATGCTTCCACAGATCTATGTCTGGAAAGCCAAGATTCTGATGTTGCTCCCTGCTCAGAGGAGGCCTGTACTCTAGCCTGCCTGGTTTGGACATCTAAGGGAACACCCTCTGCAGGGGCCTTGCTCAGCCAGTGAGGTTTACACTCAGCCCTCAG